AAAAGAAATATATTACAGATATCTCAGTTTTCTCAGATTTGTCATTTTTAGGATCATCATTGCATAGACTCATGTGATCATGCAATTTCCCTTTCACATCAGATAAGTCAATCTTTATTAATGTAAATAATTTTATTCATAAATTAAATTAATTTTTTATCAAAACTTATCAGAAATTTAAAAATAGCAATCTGAAAATGATGAATCTGATGAATTTTAAGATTAATCAGAGTGTGAAAGATGTTGCAGATCTAAAAAACAATATTATAGATTTTGCAGATGTTCTGTATGCAAGTGGAAGGACGACAGGAGACATCTCCTTATATGTGATGGCAATTGTAAAATTAACTCACACACCCAATATTTAAAACCTCCACTCGAAAAGATACCTAATGAAAATTGGTACTGTGATACGTGCAAATTCTGAAATTTAGAACAAACTGTATATATATTTCAAAGTTATTTTATTTTCTTCAATTGAATTTCCATTTATTTATTTTTTCTATGTAAGAATTAAAGTCTCAGTCATTAATACTTATGTGATATTTCAAATCATTAGAACAAATTGCATAATGTCGCAAATGATAATAAAAGTGGATCTGAAATCTTGAAACATAGATCAAAAATATTGAGAAAAAGAAAAGAAACAGTTAGTGCTAATAAAAATGCAAAACACACAAGAACAAATGACTTGGATAATATGGATATAAATATATTACCAACAACTGATATAAGAATTAAATTTCAATTTTAATTAGTATTTTATGACATGAATACTCAATGAAAAAATCAATAGGATCAATTACAAACCTTGGAATCAAGCTCATTATTGAAAAAGAGAAAAGACTCAGATGTCATTTTGGGAATGCAAAGTTTAATGCAAATTGATAATGACTTGAAAATGGATGAAAATGTAATCATTCTATTTTACTATAATACCTTTATAAATATTATTTATATAACAATATACTAAATTTATTTCTCCGAAAATCAGAAATTACAGCAACAGAATAAGTTTTATAAAATTTATAGGTTTTTTTAAACAATTATATTAGATCTTGCCAATAATACACCAGCCATCCAAGAAGGCATAAGTAACAAGGTGCATATCCTAAAAGATGCTTATGTCAAAGCTACAGGTCTTCAATTAGTAGTATATTCAGATCAATTTTTCTCAAAGAATGTTTCAATCAAAAATTTGCCTACTTCAAGATTTGACTATCTCTTTGATGCTGATGATGACATTAAAATTATGATTCAACTTTTATTTGAATATTCAACAAGTATTGAGTTATTAGATTGTTATTTTAAAGAATAGAAACTACAATATACAGAGGGTATCCATATTATTGTGGATACTTTTTATTATACAATAAAAAAATTTTTTAATAAAAAAAAATATT